GCGTTCTTTTAAACTTTAGCATTACATTTTTACTTTTCAGAGCGCTGCATCAACTAACAGTTTCACACTGATCATATGAACAATGCAAAAGGTCGGGACGTGCCAATAGAATAAAAGCCCAAAATCAATGCTTTTATCGTGGATTTATGGGCACGAATTGGGGAAATATCACTGTGTGTCGCTGCACATATATTTTGTTTTGGTCGTCTTCGCCAGAATCTGTTGTGTAAAACTAATCTGATATTCCCATGCTTTCGGAAATCTCACGCCAAGAATCATTTTTCAATGTCAAATTTTTTGAATCCCGTATTTTAATTTTGTCATATAGTACGGGATGGTCTTTTACCAACTCGATTAATTGCTGGTTTTCAACCACCTCATCAGGATCGGCATCGTCGTCATCTCGATCTTCTTTAGGCCCATCTTCTTCACAATCTATCTTTCTTTTACGTCCCCGTCTTCGTTTTTTTGGAGCATATTTTATATTAAGAAACGCCTCTCCATTTGTTTGCCTAACAACTCTTGATAAATTGTAATTAATTAATAAATATTGCAAAAGTTCACAATTTACCCTTGTTGTAATGATCTCTTAAAAATAGCAGATGTTCGAACATATCCCAGTTTACCATCTCATCAGGGTTTTCTTGTGCCCTCCTTAATTCTTTACCAAATCTATCACGAATACTTTTCCAACGTGTAATACAACCTCGTTCTATTAATGAATGATTAAAAAAATACTTTTAAAATATATATGTATGAATATATCATTTGGCATACATCAAGATAACCAACCGTTCAGCTATAGAAATACTAAAAATGCAGATTGCTAGTGCTTTTCACGCTGATTTTAACTATAATATAGCAGTTTAGAAAATATTAATATTTTAAACTATCAAATTTTTTTGTTTTACCTTTTATATCTACTTTACTTTTTAATAACAAAAAAATTTTGATATTTTAAAATATTAATATTTTCTAAACTGCGTAACCGATACAAAAGGTAATTATATCAAAATAAAGACAATTAATTTATCTTCATGCTGATAAATAAAATGTGTATGATTTTTTATATATTTCAGCCAAAAAGATTATGAAACAAAAAAATGTCATAATTTTTTCATAAAATAACCTTTTTTAGAAAAATTCTATAATCAATACTAAAAATTATTTAGAAAGTGCAAGTTTTTACCTTTAATTTGATATACATATTATATCATGATTTGCTTTTGAGTTTTCAGAATTCAGTGATAATAAAAAATATGTATGTATGATATGTATGTAATCGCGCGATTTTTTATTACAAATTTTCGCCTGCGGCGCTTTTTTCTTAAAAATCCAATACTTCCATATATCTTGAAAATTTTTAATAAAAAATCGCGCGATTTTTTATTACAAATTTTTGCCTGCGGCGCTTTTTTATACAAAATCCAATACTTCCATATATCTTGAAAATTTTAACCTGCGGCCCTTTTTTTTATCAATTCTTCCATATATAGTGAAAATATCGTATTTTTTACGTTTTTTATTCGTTTAAATCGCCCGATTATATATTTCAAAATGCACTATATACATTAAAATATATTTTTACAATAAAAGTAATATATATATCACCGATTTAAAAGAAACTCTTAAATATATGTGCATAAATAAGACCGTGAAATTAATATTTTCCTTTTAGCCGTAATGCATCACAAAGTATTTTTGGCTAAAAAGAACTATTAACATTTTCAACGATGTGGCACCTCATTCATGGCGGCCATCGCTGAACAATTGTGTGTTTACTATTCTTTGAGAATAGAAAAATATTTTAAGAACACTTCTATAAGCATTACTGGCTAAATATTTAGTGAAAAAAGATGTGCATCCATTTGTTTATGAAGAAAAGATGGTGTATTAATAAAAAGAAAAGTGATTAGTGCAGTGTTTATAAAAAAATAATTGTGAAGCAGTGGGGAACTTTTAACAACGAATAACTTAAAAACTATTAACATTTGTACACAAAATGTTGATGATATCGGTCAATGAGCACCTCCTCAACACGCCCTGCGAATTTCATTAAAAAATGCGTAATACTTTGGGTGATATAGGAAATGGTCCATTATAGGAAATCTCAGCCTTTATAAATGGGGTGTTCACAGTTCGTTCCAAATAGTGTCTCAAAATGTAGACGTCTACATTTTAAGACGTTTTCTAACCGTAAAATCTGTGGTGTTGTTGTTTCCCATACAAAATTGGAAAACGACGGCGTCTACATTTTGTCACACTCAAAGGTATGTTTTTTACGCGTCTACATTTTGCAACCTCGCAGCAGGGTTGCATTATGGCAATACTAATCACATTTTTTTTATTTATTGGGCACGTTTTCCGTATTTGCATTTAATTTGAGCGCAATTTCTGATGAAAAGAAACAAATCAAGGAAAAGGAATAACAAATATTACGAATTGGTAATTAAGTTAAATAATTAAAATTTTTCAGAAACAAAATCGAAAGGCGACATATAAACAATGCACGCAAACAAGAAATGTCTGGCAACACCAGCAAAGTTTTGAGACGATTTTGCGACGACTGCTAGAAAGGGGTGCTCACAGTTTGATGCTAAAAATGTCTCAAAATGTAGCCGTCTACATTTTCAGACACAATTTGGAACGAACTGTGAACACCCCAATAGTTAAAATCAGCGTACAAAGCACTATCGGTCTGCATTTTTAGTTTTTCCATTGCTGGACGGTTGGTTATCTTGATGTGCTCCTATCATTTACCCGAGCAATTCAACTGGAGTGACAACTTGTGCCATATATCATCTTTTAATATAGAGTTCTTTTGACCGCGCGCTAGTCTTTTGTCGAATATCGTCCAGTTGTGTGACCATTATTCCAATTAAATTAACAATAAAGATAAGCTTCCAAAAACCTCTGTACATACAGTGTACCACAGTATACCAGTAGAAAAGGTTTTTGTTGTTGTGGCTGTTAATTTGGTCACCATAAAGGACTTGAGGGTTGCGAGCAACTATTTTTCCGCATTCAGGGTGCTGTGCAGCAAAATAATGTGGTGAAAAATTTTAACATCGGATAAATGGCGAGAGAAATATTGTTATGCGCTTTATAAGTAAGCATGAACGTAATAAAATCTTTCATACTTCAATACAACTAATTAGCGCTATTTTTGCAATTCGAAATGATCTTAAAAATATGTGTAGTGAAATATGTACTTTATGAGATAATGGAAACTATCTTATATGTAAAAATATATTCCGATTTACTTCAAATAAATGATGTAAAATGTTTTATATATGGATCTAATTTTAATAATAAAATTTATTACTTTCATCTACATTGTTTTTATTGTAAGTTTTCACGAGTAGTTGCAGTTTTCTGCAATTGTCTCTGGCCGACTATACATGTTAAAGCCAAATAATTTCACAATTTGTACCCTATTAAAGGTTTATATTTTAATAAAATGCGATCAATTATTTAAGAATATATATATTCCGATCAAACTATAGTACTGAATGCTTGACAAATAATTATTTAAATCAAATGATCAATAGTGAACGCACTCGGAGTGAATTTTGGAACACGGAGCGAAATATGCGTATTAAGACTAAATAATTTCTAACTTTCTACCATATTATACGTTTATATTTCAATGTAATATGATTAATTACTGAAGAATATATAAACTCCGAACAAACTTCACTACTGAATGCTTGACAAACAATATTTGAATCAAAAGATCAATAGTGAACGCGCTCGGAGCGAATTTTGGAACACAATATAAATGTTAAGACTAAAAAATTTCTTATAAGCTTATGTTTTAATATAATATAATTAATTACTGAAGAATATATTAACTCCGATCAAACTATAGTATTAATTGTATGACAAACTATTTAAATGAAATGATCAAGAATGAACGCGCTCGGAGCAAATTTTGGAACACTTCATAGAATATTTACAGAGGAAGTATATTGGTACAGATCAAAATGTATTTAACAAAGTGTGATTGAATTTGATATTGCTCTCAGAAGAGCCATCCTATAGTCAAATTGAAAAAAAAATTTTATGCATTTTGAATCGTTTGTTTATATTTTTTACATAATATTAAGAGAGCCGCACTGAGTTGTCAATAACACCTTGTTTAATACACCCATGATACAAATATTTAAAGGTAAAAGCGCTTGCTCAATTCGTCGGCCATCATTTATTTTTTGAAGTTTGTCTATTTTATAAAATTGAAATTTTGAGAGCAACTCAAATGTCAAATAAAAGTAAAACAAAAAACAAATAGACGAAAATATTGAAATTTTCATTTATTTGAGACTGAAAATGAGAATGTATTTGTGAGATTGGAAATTTGAAAACATTTTTGTAATGTTAGCAAACTTCAAAAATGTTCAGGCTGCCTCTCAGCGGTTTTACCTTCAGATTTTTGTATCATGGATACACCTCGAGATATCACGAACAAGTTTTCCTTTGTTTAGTTTTACTTAAAGTCCTTAAATA